AGACTGTTCAGATGTTCATTTTCACCTAATAATAAACATTTTTCCTGTAGCTCTCAGGAAAAAAAAATCCAAACATAGAGAACAATCAGGGTTGTCAGGATTAAGACAAAGCACTTGTGGTAATGCGCGTTTTGCTTCCTGCTGAGGCTTGTCAGAGTAACTATTTTGCTCTGACAGGTGCAGGGCACTTGCCAGCAGTGTACTGTGTGACTCTGGTTTAGAACAGTATAATAACACAGTCCATTTCCAGCAGCAAAGGGGGAGGTTGGGATCTGAACTTCTGTTTCTCATAACACGACACCAAATCTTGGCTATAGGAAAGCATATTGGCCAGCAAATACACACACAGCTCTACTGCAGATACTATTTAAAGAGCCATGTTCTGTCTTCTTTTAAAGAGGCAGTGCCCTAAATGGACGTCCTGTGGACATACCAGACATTTCAAAGGCCTGTAGAGCCACGCTGTAACAGACACCCTAGAGTTTCCCTATGCCCTTCTCTATTGATTTGGGTATAACACTTGATTCGGCTCCATGCAACGAGAGACACCCTGTCAGAATTGTTCCTTTAGGAGCTGGGCAGATGTGTTTCTCTAGAAGCATTTTCTGCACTTTCTCTTGCTGATAGGCCATATTTTACCAGCCACTGCAGCAAGGTCATAGACACCAGTCTGTCCACCTCCCACCTGTCTAACTGGTAGCTCCCAGCTCTACTGCAGGGAGGGACACTTTATTGAAACTGGTCTCATGTTCAGTCTTGAGTAAAAAATAACATAAATTACCTTAAAACAAGAGAGTCTTAAGTGTAAAAAAAAGCATCACAAACATCTGTGTATAATACTTTGAATAAATGTATGATTAGCTTATTTTTACTGTATTTAACTGGTATAGAGTATACTAATAATTATGTAATAGTAGTCACTAAAACATCTCTGCATTGGATACAATCCCCATCCATTAGTCAGCTGAGCTGGATGAAAGAAATATTAACCATTTTTTTGTGAAACAGAAACAGGTATTCATCAAAGATATTATGTTGACACAGAAATCACAAACCCATAGCCAAAGGCCTGATTCTTCCAACAGATTTGTATGGGTGGAACTTCTGGTCATTCCTTTTAGTGAAAAGATCTTTATTGTAGTTTAAGTAAATATTTGGAAAAACATGGGAAATAGAGAGTTGACCTGAAATTAGCAGCAAAATTACCATTATTACCCCTAAAGCCAGGTTTTAACCTGCCATCTAGAAGCAGATTTGAATGCACTGAGATAACAGCTCCATAAATGCCAATTTCTTTATGAAGCGGAAAGAAAGAGTTTGAAGTTTCTCTGCTAAGTTTGCCTGTGCACAGAGGTCTTTTATAATATAAATTTAAATACACAATCTGTTTTACAATGTTTTCCATCAACTCTCTTCTCCATATGTTCTCCCACTAGGAATCTAATGAGTTCTACATATGAGGGATGACAAGGGAATATGCCTGAGAAATAATTCCAGCAATTATGGCATATGGAGGCATTGTTTTTGAATCACTTTTGCCATGAACATTAGGCAGAGCATCTGGGACCAAATTATGTCTACCTGCCCATGGACATTAGCAAAATCATCATCTTCCATTTGTAAATTCTGCTGAGGTAATCTGACATACAGAGAGGACCATTTCATCAGCTTTATGATCAGGGAGCATATTGAAACACAGTCCATTTATAGTTAGAAAAAAAATGCTTCTCTTTAGAAAGAATAGTTCAAACTGGAATAGAAGATAAAATTATAAAAACACATAATCCCTCTGTCCTCTCCCATGTTCAGTTCCAGGCCACTATTTACTAAAAAACTTTTCTCATCATTATTAGAGTTTTGATATAACTGACTGGATTGCAGGGCATGAGAAAATGATAAAAGAAAAATAAAAATAACAAAAATATGCACAAACTCTAAATCAGTAATAGCAGGGATTTTATTCTCTGTGCTCAAATATGACAAGGCATCAGTAATTAATCATAAGGAGGAAAGAGACTTTTTAAAAAACTACTTTTTATGGAGACCTAGTGACTAAAGTAGCGTTTGGTAAGTTCTTATTTAAGTACTAAGAGTTAAGGCTGGAGATTCAAGTACAGTTTCTGTCATGTTTGTTATGGCAGTAAGAAGAAAAAGGTTCAAGAGATTCAACCAATATGCTCATATGGAATTAACTTGCAACTCTACATATTCCTCATATTCAAGAAAAATGTCTCAGCAATGTGAGGAACATAAGTATTTTTATATGTTGTTTTCCCAGCTGTGCAGTTGAAACAGTGAAAGGCATAAATCCCAAACTCCAGTCTCCTTAGGTTACCTCAGTGTTTTAGCAGAAGAAAAAAAGTATGTTCCTGCTGTTATAGAGGATCTATACCAAATTTTAAATTTTAAAGTTATGAACAGAACTATAATTTGAAGAGCTGATATAGAAGTTTTACTGTTAGGGTTACATATAAGCAATAATATTTCTATCACACAAATTATTTTATTTAGTTGGGCAATAAACTGGTTTTCAGAACTGAAATATTTATTTCAAGTCTTTCAGTCACAGCTAATATGAATGTGATTAGGAACATTTAATCAAGAGAATCTATTATCAAGGAATAACTGGAATTCTCTTCCAACTGCTACACAGGTTGACCTGTATACTTGCAGGGAAAGAGTGAAAATAGAGAGTACTTTCTTTAACTATTAACCTGAATGGAGAGAGATATGTGAACCTTAATGAATTTGCTCAATCAGAATTTTCTAAACAAATGCTAAACATTCATCTGCATCTGACTGCCTTATACAAACCACACAATGCCTTGCCATTTCTGTCATCTGGCTGTGGAGAAAATCCCAGAGACACGAGTCAGACCTTTCCTACAACCCAGAGAACAGGTCTAAAAGTCCTACTGTCCCTCCCACAGCCACAGGTTCAGAGTGCTGGCTGTAGCCCTGTGCTCACATACTGGATCCACTTCCCCAGACCCTACATCTCTGGTAATGAAACCATATTTCAGTTGTTTGACTCTCCTGGCATCCTATTCACAGCACTCTGATAAAGAACTGTCACTTCCTTACACAAGAGTTTCCAGTGTCACCATCAGTGGCCCTCCTGCCAGATTGTCTTAAATTGTCTTAATTAGTTTTGGATAACAAGACATTGACAACACTTGTAATCTCACATGTTAAAACAAAGTTGTGGGAAATTCAACCTTTTCATGTACTACCTCTTCTGTAGTACAGATGAATACAGAACATACAAAAAAACCCAACCACATTTTTGCTAAAATATTTGCAATGACTGTCTGTGAAGTAGTGTCCAAAAGTTAAATAAGCTCTCACAGAAACAAGACCAAAGATGTAATCCGGAAATATTCACCCATTCTGTGAAAGAATAAACAAAAATTTTTCAGGATACAACTGTGTTATAAAGACAAAGTGATTAGTAAATTCTCATTTTTCAATTTAAGACCACTGAATCCATGAGAAATCATTTAATGGCGTCAGATTGTTCAGGTGTGACAGGTTTGATGCAGAGCTATCTAACTTTTGGCAAAAAAACCTAGAAATTAGGGCAACAGTTCTCTTGCAAATCAAAACTGTGCTCCTTTTCTTTGCCAATAGACTGGTTAACAACAGATGTGTAAAATTTGAGGCATGAAGGAGGAGGCAGTAAATCAAAAGAAAAGGATGCCAATCACATATTTCTGTTTTGTTGTTACAGACTTTCATGCATTACATAGAAATTATAAAAGCCAGCTGTACAATTATAATGAGAAAAAAAATCCCTGCATGTATTTTGATGAAAACTAACAAATTAAAATACTTTATATCAGATTCTTTACTTTCACAATAATTGCACATGATGCACTCTTAAAGCATATAGATACTTAACAGAGCTGCATTGGTTTGGTGAAGTACTGAAATGCTACACCCATAACATTTTTAGGCAGAGCTGAAGGAGTCAAGATTTAAAAGATACAAGATAAATACAAGACTTCAAAATATATAGCACAATAGCTGTATTTATAGGTAGTACCAGTGTTATCTGCAGCAGTGCTGTTTTAAAGGTTGACATTCTTTATGACAAATAAACCACATACAATTGAGATCTAGACTTGAATGGTTTTTTAAGCTTTATTTTAGATTTGATCTGATATGAATTTTTTTCATTAAGATTCATATCAGGACTTCCTTTTGTGCTTTGCTGAACTGATCCAATACATCTAACTGTGAGAGGTATCACAAAGCAGTGATTTTTCTTCCTCTCTCAATGCACTGCCACTTGGAATTGCAGAACTTCATATTCGGCAATTAAGGGTTCTTGATGATTACTTAATTCAAAGAGTAAGATGGATTTCCCTCTGATCCTAATGCCTGATCATTTTTGCAATCAGATTGAACAATCTATAAAATAGTATATAAATGAATAAATGATTAATTGAAGTCATTCACATTCTAACATGAATGCACATAGCTGATCCTGTCACCCGTACTCCACCTTTAAAGGAGCATTAAACCTGCACTGTGGACACCTGAACTGTGGCTCCCAGCTTGCTTCAAGGTGTACAAGCAGATCTGAGTAACTGGCTTTCTTTTTAATTTTCTTTTAAACATTTACACAAATTAACCTGAAACATTGCTTTTTCAGGATTGTCTACCATGTCTTGTTGCTACTTAAAACATCTAAATGACAATTTTTCAGGATTCGCATTTTGTGAAGAAAAAAAAATTTATTCAATCTGAACTGAAAGCAACAGTACACCCACCAGAATTTCCCACAGGTATCAGTTCCTTCCAAAAAAGACGTTTCAAAGTGGTAGGAAATATAAAGTTAATAAAACCTTTGAGATTCTTATTCGCCAAAAAATTATTTTGTTCCATGAGTAAACAGATCTCCAATGCACACATCCATACAGGGAACTCTATTTTATATTACAATTTTATTCACTTGCTATGAATAGTCACAACATTCATCTACTGCAGAGAATCTATTCAGTATATTTGAAAATCCATTTATTTTCATTTATTGGTATGCATGTGTTACACTTGTATATAATACATTATTTTCAGCGCTGTTTAAGAACAAGGAAACAAAGAAAACTAGTATTGAGAAGCATGATGTAGATTTTCAACCAAATAGAGGTAATATTTAAATTTTACAAAACAGCACATTTATGCTTTGCACTGTCCCAGACAACCTCTTTAAGATGCTACCTTCCATCCTGAACCTCTTAGCACAAATCCATATAATACTAATCCATCCTAAAATACCAAGAGACTTCGTTTCTGCTACAAACAGTTTATTCTAATTAAATTTTAATCAGAAAATAAGATCTTTTTCTGTCAACATATTTCTTATTATTTCCTAGCAAAATGATAGAATATACTTCTCAGTTTTATTCCCAAAAGTCATTTATTTTATTTAAGCTCTCCCGTGCAATAATACAGCAGCAGTAATGAAATGGTTTTGGAACAGCGGGGGCTACAGTGACAGGCAGAGCTTGCCAAGGTGTTCATCCATCACAAAACTTAATATATAACTAAACTAGCCATGTCAATGGCTTACAATGATTAAACCATTTCATTCTATTCCTTTTTTCTTTTTTTTTCTATTTTTTGGGGTTTTTTGCTGTGTTTGGTAACCACACAGGACTTAAACAAGCTTATCTCTATGTATTTTTGACTACCATTAAGTGCGTGTGGCTTTCATTTCAATTCACCAAAGCATACAGTCAGAACTCCCTCTAGTCAGTGTGTTTATGCAGTGTCACTAAAAGGAATTGCCAAATTTCTTTTGTATCAACATTACAGATGGTCCAATATACATTAAATGGAGTATAAAATTATACATTCTGTAATAACTTAGAAAAAATCTCAAAGATGCTTAAGGCCTTCAAATATTGAGGATTTTTTTCATGTAACAACACACTGAAAAGTTCAAAACTTTCTAACAAAACAAAACAGATCTGAATTGGATGACTGTACGCAGGCAAAATATCCATGAAGTGTAAAACTGGGAGAGTGCTAGGACTTTTTTCCTTTATGTCACACAGACTGAGCAAACATCTACATAAGCATCCATCAGTATTTAAGTTCAAGCAAGAGATATTTTTTTTAATAAAAAGACAAAAATTCTGAATGATTACCATCCAATATCATAACTGCAAAACTCATTTACATCCCTGCCTACTTTTGTATAAAAGGGATGAAATAGTGGAATTGACTGTTTACCATGAATTTAAATGAATCAAAGGTTAAGAAAGTAAAGTACATATTGGGAACACTCATTTCCCTCAAACTAAATGGAAATATATATATTAAAGATATAAAATGCCTTATGATGGAAGTAGTAATTGAGTTTTGACCACTACTTTCTTTAACTGTTAAACTGCAGTAGTTGGTTAGCCTTAGGGAAACATGTCAACCTGACTATACATTCTAATATGACTGATGTATTCAGATAACTATTATTTGTCAACAATAATTATTAGCAATGGTTATATAATTCCATTCCTATAACAAAGCAACTTCAAGATGTTGAAATATGTAGCTTTAAGACCTGCAAGATTAGAACACAAAAATGTCTAAAACTGCGCCATGCTCGAGGACAATTTCTGCAACAGAAATTTAATTAAAGCAGTGTGCAGTCCCGCCAGCAATCTGAACAGTGCACCAAGGATCATTTTAGAGTGAAGGATCCAATACATTTCAGAGTTTGACTTCAAGATGAAAAGCCACTGATTTGCAATGGAGAACCCAAAAGTTTGCTGCTTTTCTGCACCTTTAGAATATTAGCTCATGATTACAGCTGCAAATTCCTCAGCAAGTGCAATTTTACAAGTGTACACAGTTCAATCAGTTGAAATATTTGTGACACAGAAGTTCAAAATAACTTTCCAGTAGTTTTGATCTCAAGGCTGTTGCTGATTGCAAGCCAGGTTCTCATTGAAACAATTGATTCTGAAGGATACACCCCAGCAGTATAAAATTTCACTTCAAGGATTGCCTGGAGGAATGAAATTCCTATGTGTTGTATGTTATCAGCCTTGAGACTGGCTTGATTTGTCTTTAGCTATCGGGTTACCTGTAAAGAGAAAGAAAATGAGAAAATCAAAAATTTGGTATAGTGAATCTGCTTCCAAATACTGGAAACTGAGACTGAAGTGTAAGATCTCTGTCCAGCAAATATCTTTCAACTGTTTTTAAATAAGAGAATAAACCCCAATGATATTAAATAGCATTCCTCCCCAAAATAAATTGTGTTTTTAAGTGCTTAGTGAGAATATGATTAGACAAGGAGAAATTGAAATGTGACCATGATTAAAAATATAATAAAGTCATGAATTGGCAAACCACGAATTTATGTTTTCTGTTATTCTTTTTTTGTTGTTAAAAAATTCTGTATGATTATGACTATGCTTTTTAAATGTTAGCTATTTAGTATATAGTGACTGATACTGGAGCTGTATTCTTCCATTCTTTGAATGCGTTTTTAAAAAACGATCATAACATCATAGAATCATTCAGGTTGGAAAAGACAGTGTCCTTTTAAAGGATTAATGTATCTTAGCAAGCAATAATCACTTAGTGGAGAAACAGGACAAAACTCATGCAGAGGTTAAGTAGTGATAGAGATCCTGTTGTTCATAAAGTAAAAAATTACAAAGGATTTCATTTAGAGTGGTTCCACCCAGCCTAACATGAAACAAGAAGGAAACAGAAAGACCACAGAGAAAGAATGGGGGTCAAAGCATTTCACAATAATTGGACTTTCCCTCTAACTGATTTGGATTTTAAACTTTAAAAGAAAAAATTTGTCATATCAAAGAAACACAACTTTGAGGAATATTTCTGCTGTGTCAATGGATACAATTAATCATCATGTAATCTTTTAATATCAAACTGTGTCAGGGGGAAACATCCCAAGGCTTGAGGAACAACTCATTGGAATGGTCACAACACTTTATGACATCAAGGGGCATATGCTTTTCATTTTGATCACAGAGAGAAGGGTCATGCTCCTTAATGATGAAACATTCTTTTGCCCTCAGCAAAACTGTTTGCATACAGCTCTTGTCAGCTCTGCAGAGCATAAACGTAGAACAAACAGAATATTAAACAGACTGTTCAAGGAGTTCATTACTTCGGTTTGCCTTCTCCACAGAGTTGTTTCTAGGAACTGCACTTGAGGCAATAATAAAATTGTGGTTGTGATTTTTATGATACACAGGCTTGTTTATTACACTGCTTTTATTTTGCTTTGGTCTTGCTGTTGGAAACAGCCTCATGTGGTCCCTTCTAAAGTGAAAGATTGCCTGAAAAAATAATAAAGAATTAATTTAACAGTCAGGCAACATATTTCTGTGTCCTGCACCAAAGCTCAAAAGGCTGATGCACTATCTTACTGTTATTTATTTTTTTGCTTTATTGTAGCAATCTGGAATTCTACTCATGGAACCAGGTGCCACTGAGCTACACAATGTAAAATACACATCTGATACTATCTGCAGGTGGAATTTTTTTGGCTTCATTTGTAATACATGTCTCTATATCTATGTCTATATCTATGTCTACCTATTTATCTATCCAGTAAAGAGCCACTAAGGCAAATAAGACACAGGAGCATCTCACACGAGGAAAGGCTGAGAGCACTGGAGCTGTTCAGCCTGGAAAAGAGAAGGCTCAGGGGGAAATACATCAATGTGTACAAATATGTGAAGAAAGGGTAGGAAGAAAATGGAGCCAGACACTTTTAAAGTGGTGCCCAGCAGCAGGACAAGAAACTGAAAACATGCAAATACAGGCAGTTGCCTCTCAGGAAATGGTTTTTTACTGTGACGGTGACTGAGCACTAGCACATATTACCCAGGGATATTGTGGGCTCCATTCTTGAAGATATTCAAAAGCTGTCTTGTCCTTACTGGCTTTAGATGTCTCTACTTGAGCCAGGGGGTGGCACTTCCAGAGCTGCCTTCCAACATCAACTATCCTGTGATGTATTATTTCTATTACACCCAGATCTACGTGTGGGCTAAGGTGATAGACTTCAGATAACAAAAACAGTATTTTTGCACATACATGACTGCTCAGTTACATGGTTGTTTGGAAGTGCTAATGTATTTTCAGTCACAAGAAAAGTCAGTAAAATTATAATCTGCAGGCCTATCTTCTCACTCCACCTAGCACAACAACCCTGTGGTGAAAATATCCCCACGAAATCAACATACACTATCATGGGAATTAGATAGGTGATAAAAATAAGAAAAAAAAAAGCAGACAGCCATCCAAATTCCTGCTCTATATCAGGTCACTCACCTACACACACACACACATATATATGTATATATGTATTAGATTTTGCTCTATGTATGATGTTAATACTTCTTATGTTCAAGCATAGATTGCACATCAACATTAATGTCAGTGATATATCCATACACCATACACATCAGGGAGTGAAAAAAACTCTTGGTTATTAAAGGCAGTTTCATACAGAAGCAATGAAATTTTAGCTAATACCTAGTGATGGTAATCCCAGAAATGCTTAATTTTGGATATAGTAAATGCTATTTGATTCAAGTGTCTGGGAAGTAAGGTATTAAGGTATTGTGCCAAAGGCCTTCATAGGAAAAGAGGGACCAATAACAATATGGGTCTGATCTTTAAAATCCTTAGAATAGTAACACCCTGAAGCGTGCAAATCAAGTTTTCAGTTAATAATTGATACGTATGGAAAATTAACAATACAAATTTTAAAAGTACATTAAACCTTTAGCATCCTAGGTTTTGATTTGAATTAATTTATTCATTCTTAGAATGCAATTACTCTCTTTATACTAATAAATTTTCTCACATTGTTGTTATATCATAAATACACTGCATTTGACTATCTTCATTTTCTTATCCTAAATATGCAATTAATGTATAATTACTTTGCAGTTACAGACTTTTTAATTTAAATTAGTGAGTGGCAGCTGTAAATTGGCTGTAATTGTATGTGGACTCACTTGTTTTATTTTAACACAACAAGAAGAAATCTTCAGGTGAATTTAGTATATAACTAAATTCACCTGAAGATTTACACTTTATTCTGCTCACTAAATGTTCAGAACAAACTCAGTCTTTGGGTTAAATCTTTTTGCCAGGATAATGCAGAATGGATCAGAGATGAAAAGATCTCATGACATCACATTATAAAAGCTACCAGACTTAAGAGATTTTTCTGGACAACCACAGTGGGTGAAAAATATCCTCATTTTTGAAATCCACAAATGTGGATGAATACAGCAGATAATATTGTTTATTTCATTAGAATAGATTTTCAATAAAAACTAAGTCTGATACTTTTACACAGGACTTTCTTCTGCCTTAGAAGAGGAAGGAAGAAAAATCAAGAATGTAGAATGTAAAGAATAGCTGAGAGGATATTCCCTGAATAATAAAGCACTTCTCCCAAAATTCAGGCACTTCAGCATCAGTGACACAACCCAAATTAGGTAGAGTAAAAGTCTTCTGTTTCTTCAGAGAAGCAAATATATCACAAATCATTAGATAACTGCAGAATATGTTCTGCATCCTTTTTCTACATCCAAAATTAGGCACATAATTAATTATTATATAATAATGTTAGAATAAAATAGATAACAATATATGGGATATTGAAATTAAATGTGTGCTGGAAAGTTTTATAACACAACTTGTACATTACTATTTTTTGACTGGCAGCTTTTTGAATTTTTTTCCATGTTCATCATAAACCATACACAAAATCCATAATGAAAACTGACTCTAAAGTTTGGAAAGCCAAGCACTTGAAAGTTAACAATTTGCCTTTTTATATGTCTGCTTCCAATTTAATTCTGTTTTCCATCATGCACAGTAAAGAAGAGACTTTAGTGTGTGAGGAGAGTTGGAAGGAAGACAGGACTATGTATCAATGCAAATGCAGAAAAGGCAAAATTTTTAAGCCAATGTTTCTTGCCTTGACAGATGATTCCACATGGAATCTATGGACCTTCTGTTCTGGGTTTTCTCCAAATAAACAATATGTACTTAATGGAGGATTTTTTCTTTTTAATTAGAACTGTTCCATAGATCATATAGGATTGTGTGTGATTATCGGTCATGCCATCTAAGCATACTCAGGCTGTCTTTTTCTTTTCTTTCCTTTTATTTTTTTCTTGAGATAGGTAAGACACAGAAAGGAAATTATTTTTCTTGTGAAATCAATTAATAGCTCACCCTGAACTAAGTGTAATTTCATGAGACAAAGTTGCCTTAGCACCCTTTCAATTTTTCTCTAAAATATTAAAAGCCTCTGGGAAACAAAAATGGTATGGGGATTTCAAGCAAAAATAAAAGGGATCTCACAATTTTTTTTTTAATAACCAACATGAGATATGCTAAATACAGGAAATTACAAAAGCTATAAGGAATGCTTGAAGAAATGCCTACAATGGATTGTCCTCCAAGTCCTGGAGAAAAGACAGAGATCCCATACCAAAACAGCCCTTGTCTATGTGCAGTATATTCCTGTCCATTTTGCATGGTTATTGTGGTATCCTTTATTATACTGTATGCAAAACACCACAAAAAATTAATAAAATTATGAATAAAGTGATTCTTTAGCAAACCTTTTCTAAAAAGGAATGAACACAGGAGGGCTATATCAGTCTTTTTTTCTCTATAACATAAATAATTTTGTTGTGGTAGTAAGAACTTAATATAAGTACTACAGTGTAGAAACAGGAGGGCCCATATAACCAGAAAAAAAACATCTGCCAGTGCATTTTCTCTACTCATGGCCTCTGAGAATGAGGTTGAGGTTGGAAATGGATCTTTTGAACAGATGGAAGCACACTGTTTCCTGGAAATTTAAAATCCATACAGTGTGTTTGCCATGCACTATCATTCATAGATCGCTTGTGAAAGAAAATGACAGCTTGCATTGCCACTTGTACATGTTCATTCACTGAAACACTTTCACTTGTAAGCTTGGAAAATGCTTCTGTTCTAGTACTACCATCTTGTAGGGATAATCCAAAGTACTTCACAAATGTTAGCAAAAGACAGGTTTCCTTACAGATGGATAATCATGTAATTTATGTTCCAATGAATAGGGGAAAGTGGACAAAAAGATGTTAAGAACCTTTCTGGAATAAGGTTCGTATATGTATAGACCCTTTAAAGTAGGTAGGTGTGGATTTGGGTCTTTATTGCTAGATAACTGGGTTTCTGGAGGCAGGAGGAACCATTTCAAAAGCCTGAGAAATGAAGGTGACTCAAGCACATTTCAAGGGAACTGCAAGAGAGAACCATTAATGAGGACACAGTACAGACAGCTGGGCTAATGACAAAAGGCAAAATTTGAGTCACTTTTGAGCAGTCTGGAAACCAGATATTTAATGATAACTACATGGATTCAATTGCCTTCAGAGAAGGTTTTGTATTGAAAGACACTTTTTCAAGTCACCAAATGTTTCGCTCCTGCTTATAAAATTTTGATCCTACCTAACTTTTTATTTAAGGGCTCAAGAGCTTCAAATTCTTCCCTTAGTTTTATTTTAGGCACTGCAGTATGAAAAGTATTAATTTAAACATGTTCTCAAGCCTGTTAAGCAATTTAGAATCCTAGATCCTCATGCTTGTCCTTCAGGAGCTATGAGTAGCTCATTTTATTAATTAAAAAGAGTATTTCCCAGGATATGACTCAAAAGGCTCCCAGTTCTTTGATAACCATGAGACTCTAAAACCTCATCATTCTTTCATATTTTTATTGCATAGTGACTAATCAGAACTGCACTTGTGATAGTTCCTGTGTTTAGGACTTCCATTATAGACAAACATTCTGAAAACTCATTTCATACAATGCCATTTAAAATATAACTGTACTCCTTTATTTCCTACTGTTGTTAAGGATTTCAGCAGGAAATTTTTGGTGGTAAAGTGAAGATCTAGACAGTCAGTGATAAAAATTTTAATTGAAACTAAAAGTCATTGGAAATCTTTCCCATGTAAAGTGATCTTTCCACGTACTTCAAATAGTCTGAAAGGTAGGACTTGTAAAGTAGGTCATGGAAAAATACCTCAGAGCATGTAAATGATAAAGGTCTTAATTTTTAACACAGTTTTAAGATAAACAATTTCTAGCCTGGCTTAGGAATATAATGGAAATACCCAATTCTTAGGGGTTTTTTATTAAATTTAAGTAATTCAGTATGTGATACTGAGCTTTCAACTACAGATGCCACACCAGACTGGATGTATTAAGATGGACTTCTCTTCCAAGTGCTGTTCTCCAGAGCATCTGCTGTTATGCCATGACTGAGTACCTTAAGCTTACCAACTGGGTCTATCTTTGAAAGTCAAGAGTGTGAAGATATTTTAGGTCTCCCAGAAGCATCTAAGTAACACTCTGAGGCTGCTTAGTCGCACAGTCAGAATCTCTCCAACCACCCTTCAGAAATTCTACCCAAATGAGCCACAAGTCTTTAATGTCCACAGTAAACTAAGCAACTGCAATGAGGAGTAAGGTACAACAATTCCTGTTAATACCATGAAAACCTGTATTTGTACACACCTGCTGCTCTGCGAGCAATAAAGCGGGGCTGGAACACATTTTCTGGAGTGGTTTGACTCTTTATTCCTCAACGAACGTTCTGGCCCTTCCTTAGAATCCGACCAAGACTAGGATTCATCACAACTAGTGCTCCAACGTGGAGCCAGAATATTTTTTATGTGTGGAAAAAAGAAAAATTGTCATCAGGCACAGCAGAAACCTCCTTTCTCTACTTCTCCATTCGGACTTGAGGGGTTTTACACGTTTGCCTAAGAAACAAACACATGTCAAGTACTACACTGTTATGAAATTAGTTACAGAAAACAAAACTGGGATAGTTGGAATATTCTTTAAACTTACAAGGAAAAATACAAAATGACAGGTTAAAACATTTCAGAATCAGAGAAAATTATCTTAGGAAAATTGCAAGGTCTTTAAAATACCCAAACATACTCAAATTCAAACCAAAAAACAATAGAAACTGATAGATTACACTCACTTCTGAAAGTATATCAGCAAAATTTAAGTATAACAAAACAGTAATTGAAAAGTTCTTTGAGAATAAGTTCATACATAGACCTGTGGTACAGACAGGAGTCAAGAAGTCAGAAGACAATTCCTTCAAAATGAAAGATTTGAATGTGTTCTCCTCATATATGTTTAAAGCAAAAGAAAACAAAAATTAGAAGGTTACAGGAAACACTTCAACAAAGGACACATTACACATTTCAAAAGACAATATTCAATTCAGACAGATAGTTCTTATCTAGATATTTGAGATAGATTTTGAACCTACAAATAATGATTGCTTCTGAAATTATACACAGCACCTCAAAAGACCACCAAAATTTCTTTAAGTGTCCCTCTTTTATTTTCTTAACCCTTTTAACTTAAATATCATGCTGCAGATCATTGAAAATATACAAGATTAAGCCCAAAACTTTAAAAATTTCTTGCATAAATAAAATCTCTACATATTTCAATACTATGAAACCAATTAATATGGTCCTGTATTCATACTTCCTTGAAATGGATAGTTTACAAAATAAAATTAACTGGTACAACTCACTGGGATAATTATGATAGTGAATAGCTGATGAAGATCTATGAGTTGCATCAAGGCTAAATCCAATTCATTAGTCCTTCCTATGTAGTCATTATTTCTGTCTTCCAAAAGGTTATGCCACTGTATTGAACATACCCTAATTTTCTCAATGTTTCTGTAACTCAGTAGAGAACAGAATTTATGGTAGAATTATTTTAATGTAACACAATGTTTCATTTACAGACAAAAAATTTAAATTAAAAGACCTAAACAAAAGCCTTATTTTACTTTCTGTAACAAATAACAACTGCAGCAATTCAGACAAGGATATATCCTCTTGAGATTTTTATGGTGCTCACAACTCCATAGTGGGACTGCAGCATGGTGGCATAAAAGACTGCAATACAATTAATTACATAAATGTGATTTTTTTCTCTTCTCCACCACTCATCCTGCCTAATCAGCCCACTGGAAGATAAAAACAACCTCTTTTCTTTTGATATATGAAGAAACTGAAGCATAATAAAGAGTCATGTGACCCTATCAGGAAGTAAGTGGAAATGGAGAGTGTCCTTCTGTCTTTGGCTTTATCTGACTTCACTTACCTATAGAAAAGGCTACACTTGTTTTTTTATTGGAAAGGGAAACCTATAACAGGCATTTTCCTGTGTTTACATTCTAGATTAAAAAAAAGCAAAACAAATTTTAAAAACCCAAATCAAAACTTGTTTCAAAACTAGACTAAGGTTCTAAACTGTCTAATAAGCATGAAGGATTTTCATCTTTTAATATATATTTCCAGAAATGGGGTCAGGCTGAACTTCCAATTATCCCCACTAAAAAAATCAGGTCGTCTGATTTATAATCCAGTTAATCAAATTTGAGATCTTTTTCTTCTTCAAATTTTATGCTGTAGTGTTTTTCCTGGTATTTTGAATTGAGACTAACAAGCCATTTGGAAAAGTTCAAAATAGAAATTTAAATTATTTCCTTACCTGTAATTTTATCTTCTCTATAAGAGTACCTGCTGTTCTGTTAGTGCAGTACTGATGTGTTTTCTGCCTTTGTCCCAAGCTTCAGAGATTCCTCTGGTGATTTTTCCCCACTTGTTTACCAGCTTCCACTGCTGGCATTTTGAGGAAGTGCACTCACATTTGGCTCCAGGAATACTGCCATAGCTGAGGGAATATAAGATAACTAAAAACAAGTTAGAAAACAACAGAACCAATATCCAGGAAGGAAAAATTATTTAAAAGCAATGAATCAGTCATCAACTTGAATCCCTTAGATAATCCATTTAGAATTTCCACATGATGAAAAGACTTTTCTGTGCTTGGAGAAATTTTGGCTTAAAAAATGGGTACTGGCAGAGTAGTGGGTACCCTTTCAGAGAATATAAAATTAATTTCAGGAAATATAATTTTAACCTTCTCCTGTATGAGTACCCATCATGCCATCACTCCAATACAGATAAGAATGAGAAGAAAGAGAAGAAAGGTGACTGATTTGGAGGATTTCAGAAAAATTTCTGATATCTTTTCTCAAGTCCTAATAGAACTATGAAAAAGGAAGACTTGGCTTTTCAGTCAGAGGCTGAACAATAAGAAGGATTTCTCATTGCCCAGGAAAACAATGCATAAAGTCTCTTTCACTAAGACATAGTCAAGATTATGGTTTCTGATTCCCAATAGTTGTAGTCATCTTGGTCAAAGATGAAAAGAACAAGAACTGTCTGTTTAATAGGTAATGTTTTCTTGCTTGAGCATTATGGAGACATCCAGGTGAAAGCCGCACCTTGTAAAATCTCTGTACTGAGGATCATCTGGATACTATTTTTGAACTTCACAGTACACAGAAAAGTATTCTGTCAAAGCCAAAAATGAATGCTAGGACTTTCACCTAAGAACCTACTGTGGTATTCAATTTAAATTATCTTTCTTATAGAACCTGTCCAGTTGTCTTCATATATGCATTTTCTCATTATCTTATCTAAATGGAACGTGACCTAAGACAAAGTATAAATCAAAGTAGTAAAATCAAAGTAGTAAATTGCAATTAGATTCTGGAATTCTAAAGTCTCATGTAATGAAGAAAAGACCAAAAGGCTCAGAAGAGGTTGTTGCCTTCAAATTTCAGGAATGTAAGTACCAATGATGTGCTTTAAGGTTGCGAGAAAGAAAAAGGATTCTGGCAATTTCCTGAATGGCCTTTGAAAAAGTAATTGGCTTTCCAAGAAATAGGCTTCAAATTTGTCAAGTTGCATTCTAGAACAAAGTCTCCTGCTCCTTTTTTGTTCTTTGTGGATGAGCAATAATAATTATTAGCAAGTGGAATTGGAAAGATGCCTTGAAGATGAGAAATTTGTATTTTCCAAGGTGACTCTGAAAAGGTGACAAGGAATCAGGACAGAGACATGCCAAATTTCTAGAACAGCTAATCTGATTTTGGAGTGCATTTGCCTGAATTAGAAACAGCATGAGCAGAAACACAGTCCTTTGGTCTTCCTTTGGAAAGAATATGTTCCTAAGCCACAAAGTTTGAATTCAGGATGAGGAAATAAGTTCTTCTGGCTAGCATCACTAATTTTTCTTCTGACATTCTTCAATCTGAAGAGACAATCTGCAGTTCTATTAAAATTCTCAGATCTATTACTACTGAGTTTGTAGATACATGTTGATTAGACTCAGTGCATTTTTTCCTTGAGAACCCATTGCTCTTCACAAACTTCAGACAAACTTTTGTTTGGTCTTGCCAACATAATTTTACAGGTTTCATCATACAAATAAACCCTGCTGGACTGGATATTTTGTAGCTTCATCCAGAATCTGCACTTCAGAGTTCTATGGCATTTATCACTGCAGATATGGAAGGTGACAGATAATAATCAGGACTGTAAGATCTAAGAAGGGATCATCTGCATATTCTAATAATGCAGTAGAAGAAAGCTCAGAGTCCATTTTATAGAACACGGAAAGTCCTTTGGAGTATTTTCTCTATATACAGCAGTAGTGTCTTTCCGGAAATTGACTTGGTGTTCACCAGGGTGGTAGAAGAGTAAACTACAAGTCATGAAAAAAATGAGCAATTTTGAAATTCTCATGGAAATTAACTCTATGTTGGTTGTTTTCTTTATTAACTTAGTCATAGGAAGCAATCTTCCACTTATTCCTGCCTGAATTTTTTCTTTGTTTAGAAGAATTTTCACAAAGGATAGGACTACCTTCATTACTCTTTGGGAGAAATAGTTAAGATTTACAACCATGCTCACTTTGCTATGCAATGGAATAATGTCTGAGTAATCTGATTTCAGCTGGTTTGAGAGTTGTTCACTCCTCCATCACTGTGACTCTGTAGGCTCAGAATGCTCTGTATGTCTGATTCTCCACATCATACATAATGATTATTATTCATTTCCTTCCCTATAAGAAGGCAGAAAAGCAGAGCTGTGCCAAGGGGGTGTTTCTGATGTTTTCTATAATTGGTCCTAATGAGTAAGGAAATTCAAGAAAACTATGTTAGTTTTAAGAAATGAAATTATTGGTATTATCTTTTGAACAATTGAAGGCCAGTTTTCCACTCCCTCATACATTTCTGCATCTAAGCAGTGATGCAGAGTTTGTGAAGCCTGTGCCAAATATCCAGGGAAAGAGGAAAAAATTCTGCCTTCAGCTATTTAGGCAGCAGATCATGTGAGGTTTCAGAATATCCCAGTCTCTCTGACCAGAAATATATAATTTCTGACTTGCAGAAATGATCCAAAGAACTCCCTACAGACTAAAAAGGATGCTGAGACAAAAAAGAAGCACTAGTTTTAGAGCATGCCAGCATGACTCACATGATACTGACACTTGAATATCATTTTGTACAGTAATTTCTGAGATATTAGAAGCTGAAAAAAAATTTTCCAGGAAAATTTAAAAGAACTACTAGATATTGAAAGAGCCTTTTTTGCACAGCTGTGAATGGCAAAGAGATTGGCAGAATGAAACTGCAAATGGAAGTGGAAACACCTTTGATTTTGGTGTCAGGACATTGAAAAAGTGGAAATTCATGGGGTGAATGAATTAAAGAAAACCAGTCATTAACAAACAGCCTTAAGAACTTGTTCTTATTTTCCATCACAGAGGCAGAAAATTATTTTTTCAGACATGAGTTCAATATCTCAAACATGCCAGCAAAGGACAAGGTAGAAGAATAAAAAAAAAAAAATCACAAGTTGAATCT